CTCGCGCCCTCACAACTGCCGTACACTTTTTTTTCAACAGCGAACCTCCAAAAATGTCTAAACCCTTGTTTTGCACATTTTGACTTCGAAATGTTGGGGGGGGCTTCGCGCCACAACAGCGTTACACTTTTTTCGACTCTGAACCCTCCAAAGTGGTCCGAACGTGGTGTGCTTTGTTACATTTTGACTTCGAATGTGCTTCGCGCCACAACGGCGTGCACTTTTTCGAAACTCGACCTCTGAGCCTCCAAAAGTGCTCCGAACCCCTAGTGTTTTTAACATTTTGACTTCCAAATGTGCTTCGCGCCACAACGGCGTGCACTTTTTCGACATCGCAACTTCCAAAAGTGGTCCGGACCTGGTGTGTTTTGTACATTTTGACTTGGAAATGTACTTCGCACCACAACGGCGTGCACTTTTTCGACATCGCAACTTCCAAAAGTGGTCCGAGACCGCCAGTTTTTAACACTTTTGACTTCGAAATGTGCTTCGCGCCACAACGGCGCGCAATTTTTCATCGCTCCTGTGGCCAGCTGGCTCCGCACCCGCCGCTTTAGCGAGCCTACTTTTCGACCCTCCGGAGCCACAAATCATTGGAAAAAACACAGTGTTTCGCGACTTTCCTACCTTTTCGCGCATCTGTATCTTCTGTCTTCTTACTCTTTCTCTTCTGATCTTCTCTCTTCTAATCTTCCTCTTCTAAAAGGGGAGGTGATCATCAGCATAACCACCCATTTGGCAATGATTTACACCACCTATTTATGGTGATGTGGGGAATGGTTTATTGATGGTTTACCATGGTTTACCCACATTATTGGGATTTCAGTAGAAGCAGGATGATGAAACACGGGATTTCGCGGGGTAAAACCAAGGTTTCTTAAAAAAATCGCGCATTTTTCATGGCGAAAATCCAAAGAAAACTCGAAAAAATGGAGGGATCCCCAGTGGTCATCCATGACGACTGGATGTTTTGGGTGTAGCTTCTTCATGGCTCCCGGGGAGCCAAAGTTGAGAGGCACAACGCACGCGGCACGGTCATTTCATGACAGAATGCCATGCGAAGCATGGTGCCTTTTTATATCTTTACCATACACTGGCTCATTTGTTGGGGGTCAATGTTGCAACATATTCCAGACATCATGGCCAATCAGCCAGATACCCTGCAAAAAATTGAATTCTTAGCTGGTGAACGTAGATAATCCCAGCCAGATACCACAGACTAAAGGATTAGTTTCTACCCATCCAAGGTTAACCTAGACATGCAAGGTGGTGCTCCCCAAGTTATATTGTCGGAAGTTTGACTTCTAAACTTCCTTCGATTATAGTGTATTATATACAAGATCATATAAATATTGGCTCATTTTACCAGGGAAAACATCTCTTGTATTACCACTGTCATCTTTGGGGAGACCCAACTATAAGAACCACAAAACAAAGTTCCACGGCCCTAAAGGATCTATAACCTCAGCTTTGCTAAGATCTATGATCATAAAACTTTCCAATAATATGGGGCAAAACATGTGTCAGAAAACAAATGTAGGTAACTGACAATGTAATCTGACTCGGTAGATAATGTAGCATGTATCTATTTTCTTTGTTAGTAATGTGGGTAAAACAAAGCCATAAACCACCATGTCTGACTTGGTGATGACTTGGGGGATGGTTTATGACATTGACATAGCCATGGAAAATGGCCCATTTATAGTTGGTTTACCGAACTTAAAACTTGTGATTTTCCATGGCCATGTTAAATAACCAGATGGTACACATACACACACACATATATATATATATATCTTATTCAATAGTCATACATAAATATGCACTTATGTACATGAATCTATCTGCATCATATCCTTGTTGTAATCCCATTATGGTTGATAGATGTTGATCGGGTATCCCCGACGATGGTTTTTCAGAACATTGAAGTGCCAACAAATTGGGATCAAACACACCCAAATAATTGGTGGTATACCTACCCCTCTGAAAAATGATGAAGTTCGTCAGTTGGGAATATGACGTTCCCAACTGAATGGAAACATAATCCAAATTTTCCAAACCACCAACCAGACCCACATAATTCATCATCTTCTTGGCTATACATCCCATCATACTGCCACCAAGAATCCCATCGAAAATTTCATTCTATCCCGTTAAGAAATACCAGTTCATGCCTACCTGCCGATTGATAAGCCCTGGTGAAAAAAGGGGAGTTGCCAGAAAACGTGATAAATTACGTTAAAACAATGGTACCATCCCTTTAGGTAGACCAGGAATGCGCTTATGCATCCTGGGCTAAACCAACTCAGATACCCATCCCATGATATTATGGGTGGGGGCCGGCATCCCCTTATGGATTCGGTGATCCCCAAAGAAGCAGATAGCTTCACAACCCCCTACAACCTATCAACCATCATTATCGCTAACTATGTCCCTGCCCATAAGACTCCAAACTGGCTTGCTGGCTAAATCCACATTTCATAACCAATCCACTGGTAGTATAACCAATCAACAATGGTAGTTCCAGTAAATTTCCATGAAATCACCATCAACTTCCAACTTCCATTACATCACCATTTTTCTTGGTTAAGTTCACATCAAATCACCATTGAACCTCATGAAGTCACCGTTTGGGTTACATTTTCCATGATGCAATCGCCATTTCCCTGTCTTTTTTACTAAAACTAGACGACGGATGGCCCGAGAGCGTAGAGGAGCAGGGTCTTCTCTTGTTAGTATGGAGACACCATATTACAAAACATTATATAAAAGATGTGTTATAGGCAGTCGAGAAGACTAGTAACAAGACAATATAGCACAAGTACAAGACAATAGTTTGCATCGCAAACACTTTTACACACAGACGCTTTTACACACAGACGCTTTTACACACAAAGGCTTTTACACACAGAAGCTTTTACACACAGCAGCTTTTACACACAAAAGCTTTCACACACAGAAGCTTTTACAGACATACACTTTCACACACAGACCCTTTTACACACTGACGCTTGTACACACGGACGGTTTTACACACAGACACTTTTACACACAGACGCTTTTACACAGACGCTTTTACACACAAAGCTTTTACCCACAGAAGCTTTTACCGACAGAAGCTTTTACACACAGACACTTTTACACAGACGCTTTTACACACAGACACTCTTACACACAGACGCTTTGACACACAGACACTTTTAACAAAGACCCTTTTACACACTGGAGCTTTTACACACAGAAGCGTTTACATGCAAACACTTTTACACACAAAAGCTTTTACACACAGAAGCTTTTACACATAGACACTTTTTCACACAGAAACTTTTACACAGAAGCGCTTTAACAAACAAACCCTTTTACACACAGACACTTTTACACACAAAAGCTTTTACACACAGACACTTCTATACAGATGCACTTCTACACACAAACACTTTTACACACAAACATCTTCACACAGAAACACTCTTACACACAAACCCTTTTACACAGATACACTTTTACACACAAAAGCTTTTACACACAAGCACTTTTACACAGATGCACTTGTACACACCAACACTTTTACACACAAACATCTTTCCACCGAAACATTCCGACACACAAACACGTTTACACACAAACATTTTTACACACAGAAGCTTTTACACACAAACACGTTTAAACAGATGCAATTTTACATACAATCACTTTTACACACAAACATCTTTACACAGAAACGCTCGTACACACAAACCCCTTTTCCTGCGAAAGGATTACTCCAGCACACGATAAATCGCAATTTTACCTCAATTTTTGCCGATCGACCCTCATTTCGTGCGAAAAGGTTGCTCCAGCACACGAAAAATCGCAATTTACCTCAATTTTTGCCGATCGACCCTCATTTCGTGCGAAAGGGTTGCTCCAGCACACGAAAAATCGCAATTTTACCTCAGTTTTGGCCGATCGACCCTCATTTCGTGCGAAAGGGTTGCTCCGGGACAAGTAAAATCGCAATTTTACCTCAGTTTTTGCCGATCGACCCTCATTTCGTGCGAAAGGGTTGCTCCGGGACAAGTAAAATCGCAATTTTACCTCAGTTTTTGCCGATCGACCCTCATTTCGTGCGAAAGGGTTGCTCCGGCACAAGTCGAAATCGCAATTTTACCTCAGTTTTTGCCGATCGACCCTCATTTCGTGCGAAAGGGTTGCTCCGGCACAAGTCAAATCGCAATTTTACCTCAGTTTTTGCCGATCGATCCTCATTTCGTGCGAAAGGGTTGACGTTTCGTGACTCGCCGCCGGTACCACCCTCGGCCTAAAGAGAGAAAGATAAAGAAGGCGAGAGAGAGAAAAGGGAGAGAGAAAAGGCAGATGTGAAGATGAGCAGATGTGAAGATGAGCAGATGTGAAGATGAGCAGATGTGAAGATGAGCAGGTGTGAAGATGAGCAGATGTGAAGATGAGCAGATGTGAAGATGAGCAAGATGAGCAGATGTGAAGATGAGCAGATGTGAAGATGAGCAGATGTGAAGATGAGCAGATGTGAAGATGAGCAGGTGTGAAGATGAGCAGGTGTGAAGATGAGCAGGTGTGAAGATGAGCAGATGTGAAGATGAGCAGATGTGAAGATGAGCAGATGAGATACAGACCCCCACTATTGGAAGAACCCTGCGCTCAGACGCTCTCGGGAAAAATGGGTTAAATCATGTTAAATCCATGATTTTACCTGCAATGTGAGGCCCCCAAGATAGCTAAGTTGGTGAACATAACTCCAATTTCACTATGGTGTATGGTACGCAAATAACTATAGTTACTGGGGCTTATAAGCCAACTAACATCACTGGGGGGGCCACATTGTATCTATATTGCTACACACTCCTTTTACCCTTAAATCAATGCCCATTTCAGGAACCTAAATGGGAGGTACCTACCATCATGTTAAATCCGTCATTTTACCTGTTAAATTCCAGTGAAACCAGCATTTTTCCACCCAGAACCAGTTCTCGACTCACGTCCTGCGACCCGTCGGGCTGCATCGTTGGCGCCCGCCAGGCGCCATCGGAGCCGAGCACGGCCCAGTGCAAGCGACCGGCGAAGCCTGGATGGCTCAACAAGTGGACAGAAATCCGTGGGAACATGGTGATTTAACAATGGAAAATTATGTTTTAACCATGAAAATGGAGATTTAAGCAGGAAAAAGCAGGAAAAATTGTGATTTAACCATGAAACATGGTGGTTTTAACCAGGAAAATTGCGATTTAACCATGAAAAATGGTGGTTTTTACAAGGAAAATGGGATTTCATGGGGATTTTATTCACCAAAATGGCAAATGGTGATTTAATGGTGATTTACGGAGAAAACTGATGACTTTAATGGACGTGAATGCTAATGTCATGGTTTAATGGACATACACGGGGAATCATATCATGGAAAATATCTGACTTTAGCAAAATGGTGATTTCACAAGCGACCGCGGTGCTTTGATTGGGGTTTAACCAAGAAATCATGGTGATTCAATGGGGATTTCAGCAAGAAATTAGGCAGGTTGGTTTAAGAAACAGAACTACCATTGGATAAGTGCAAGGTGCAAGGGTTCGGATACCTGGCACCTAGAATTGTGACCATTTACCCCAAATTCATTGGAACTGCAACCCTGAAAGCTTGGGGCTTTCCACTGATTGAATTCCATCGTGAGGGGACTCCACAAATGATGCATGGCAAATCAGCCTTCGGAAAATGGAACCTGGCAGGGTGATTTTCAAGTTGGGTTCTTGGAGGGCATGTCTTCACATGTTGTGGAAATCCGAACCGAGCTTGAGCCCTGAACAAGTAACATTTCTTTCTTGATTTTTAGAGACCAATGATGGCCTATGCTTTGATTCAGATTTACCATGGCCTTTCCGACTGCCCCCACACCTTGCTTCAGACCCCGGCCTCCACTGTTGATGCTCAACATCCGCCGCACATGGCGACATTGAAAGTTGAGACTCAATGGCTGTTTGCCAACGCCTCCACTCGGATGTACCTGGGAAACTCATGAAACTCAATGGACTTGGTGATTTTAATCCTCAAATCTGGGTGATATTTCTAACTTAACGAATGGGACAGTTGCGATTGCCATCCCTAAACAGGCGGGAAAAGAGATTTCAACCACAAGTTTGGAACCACCAGTTAGGGAGAACACAAAGGTTTCCATAACAATTTGGTTTGTGCCCTTTCCACTGGTTGGGATGGTGACGTGATTTAATCCTGATCAAGGCGCCGTGGGCCACTACCGGGTAGCGCTGCGATTTCGGTGGTGCGTCATTGGGCAATTCAATCTGGTTGAGTTCGTCAGTTGGGATGATGACATTCCCAATACAGTATATGAAACAATATAACATGTTCCAAACCACCAACCAGGTATATATATATAACTATAACTATGGTTTATGGTACTTATAACCTCTTATGGTTCCAAAGCACCAAGCAGCAATGGTTCAACCGCAGCTTTTGATGAAACAAATCACCAGGGCATGGCTCACCTCACCATGCAATAATCCAAGGTTACCCATCAGAAAAAAACATATCTCCAACATATCCCCCGTCACATCCTCATTGTATCTCCAGAAAATGGTTGGTTTACCCATGATTGTCTCCCCAGAAAGTGGTCGGTTTACCCATTTTCTCTTGGTGAAACCGCCATTTTCATGAAATGATCACTTGATCTTGCTTAAAACCCCATGAAACCAGCATTCAATCCCCATGAATTGGCCCGTTCAATGGCCATTTTGGGTGAAACCGCCTAATGAGGCCATCACCACCATCATCGCCCAGGTGCTGCGATCTCGGCTCCTCCATCGATGGCATAGGTCGCCATGGCAGCGCGCACCGGTGCGCGATTCGTTTTTCGGTGCCGGTGGGGTGAGCTGCGAAAAATGCTGCCGGATCGCTGCTGGGGACCCCTTTTTGGGGTTGAATCCAATGTTTTCATAGGTGGCCCCTGTGGAGAAATGAGACTTCGAAGTCTACCTTCAGAAACGTTGAATTCTCCACTTTCCCATCCATATGGATTTGTCTCAACATATACCCCAATTCCAATGGTTTATTGAAAAACACCAATTAACATCTGGCCATTTGGGAGTAGACCCCATTTTCGGATAAACCCAAATAGGGTTTCATACTCCAGAGGTTGCGCATTTACAATTACTTTCTAGGATTCTTTTCAAATTTGTTTCCGATACAAAAGACTCGGAAGTATGAAGGCTTGGTACCCTCTGGTAATTGAACATAGCTATTGAACACGGCCCTTTATAGTTGATTTACCTATTAAACCTGGTTATTTTCCATAGTTATGTTTGTTTACCAGAGGGTAAAAACTACAGACTGATCAGTTGCCAAGCTGATGACATTCCCAAGGTCAAACCTGAGACCAACAAAATGGTCATCATTTTCGGCCTCAGATTCGCAATTTTTTAAGTCAAACATTGAAGACCCCAACCGTTCCCAACCCCCATTTTTTGGAAAAACCAATGTTGGGGCCCAGTGTTTTTGACCGACACCCCTTCGGCCATTGTGGCTGATTTTTCACGGGCCGGCTCGCTAGTCACCATATGGATGCACTGGAGGATCGCAAACATGAAAAAAAGGACTCACGGTGGACTCAAAGAACTCTTCATCCCAGGTTTTCTGGATGCATCTCATGTCTTTTTCATGTTTTTTTAAATATGTTTTCTCCTGTTCACTGGAAAAAACATCAATGTTTTGAACAACTCTGTGGTTCATTTCCCATTCTTGCAGGTGAAACGGTGAAAACATCCGGCCCCATGTTTCCTCACGAAAAGCGCGGCCTTTCGTAAAGTGTGAGCCGACCTCAAGGGGTTCAAGTTAGGAAAGTTCTGATCTTCCCCGGGCCCGGCCTATATATTTTGAAGCTGGATATCAATTGGTAAATGGTAATATTCAATTATATTCAATTGATGTGAATAAGCAATATCTTAGCTGGATTCCTGAATCACTCCTCTTCCGATGCTCATTTTCCAATTTTCAGTCTGTAAATCTCGACTTGGAGGCATCACTGTGTTCGTACCCACATGATATCACCCGCTTGGTGGTTTCACCCCCAGGAGTGCATCTTGGAGGCGCTATCCACGACAGGTTTTTTGTTTTCAGCGCCAATCTTACACCAGAAATGCCTTGCTGGTTAGGACATATGAATACATATGAACCATATCATCTGCATCCTGGTGAATCTGTGAATCTTACCCAACAAATCCAATTTTCGGCAGCAGACCCAATTTCACCATGGCAACATAATTTCAGAATTTCTGGTTGGTGATTGAGCCCTACCCCTCTGAAAAATATGAGTCAGTTGGGATTCTGACATTCCCAATATGATGGAAAAGTAATCCATTCATGTTCCAAAGCACCAACCAGTATTCAATGGTGATGTAGCCGGCAATGATGGTTTTATCATCACAATCCCGTTTAAAAAACAATTCACTTCTACTTCTACTCTCCGAGCAGTGGCTAACCATCCGTGCCCTGGGATGATCGTTGTTCGTTCCTCGATGAGGCGATATGGTCCATATTAAGCGAAAAAGTTGGGTCAAAACCAAAGAAATCAGTGGTAAAACGCACACCACGTAATTGTAGGGGTCTATCCCAACATATGTGGTTCAAAATCCCATAATTGTATCCATGACATTACAATTCTTCTTGGTGAAGTCCCATTCAATCATTATTTTTCTTGCTGAAACCCCGCATCCTGCACCCCCTTCCACCGTCGCATGGCGGCCGCAGCGGGCCGCATCTTTTTCGCCATCAGAGGCTGCCGTAGGCCGAGACCTCAGAGACGTCATCGGACAAACACCTGGCGGGAGATGGGGAGGTGGTGTTGTGAGCGTTCAACGTTCGTTAAAGAACATGGTGACTTAGTGGCCATTTATAGTGGATTTGCCCATTAAAAGTGGTGATTTTCCATAGTGATTTGGGAATCAATCATTTCCGTTTGGTAAAAATAGGTAGAGGGGCCGGGAGCTGGGGAAAATCCCATCTATCAAACAAAGCTGTTGTTAAAGGAGGTTGTTCAAACCCCTCTATTAATCAACCAACCAATGGGAAAAGGACATCTATGCTGGGAACATGTAGCTTAGTTGGCTAAATTAGTGAGCAAAATGGTGATTTCATGGAATTTACCCTCCACATGGCTAACTGGAAAATCGGAGAGCTAAATGGCGGTGTAGATGGAAAAAACATCGAACTAAATAGGGGATTTTCAATTGCCACGTTTCATAACTAGGAAAACTGAGGATTCTTTATGATGGGTATATCGATATATCTATAGTAAAATGGTTTTAAAACCCAACTTATAACTGGGGGTGACCCAATCTACGATTCTTCAAATTGTTCAATGATGGTTTACTAATAATGGTTAATTATGGTTTGCTGATTGTTTAGCATTGTCTAACCATGGTTTAATGATGGCAAAACATGATCTTTCTTTGACATTCTTGGAACTAGGCTATCTGGGGCTTATGGATTATCATAGCAGCTAGATGAAACAAACCAACTTGCCTATCTAGTGGCCTGCTTTGTATGGAAATAGGAACATCGACAGAACGATCTTCTGGCAAATCTAGCTTCGAAGTAGACAAATCAACATGTATCATCCATTCCCAAGAAATTTTCTCATCAAACATGTGGGCGCTTTCGGCCCAGCCATGTTGGCTGACAGGCGAGTTGACCGGAATCGGTCGGAAAATGGGGTACCCTCTGGTCATTTAAGTTACGTAGCGAACTGGAAGATGGCCATAGAAATAGTTGATTTACCCATTGAAAATGGTGATTTTCCGTAGCTATGTTAGTTTACCAGAGGGTATTTCATGAAGCGGAAATAGAACCGCTGCAGAATTTGATGGGTTAACCGGTTAACCGCTTCAGAGTGAAGCAAACTCAAGCCTTGGCCGATCACTCAACCGAACACAAAGGAACCCAAACCTTCCACACTGCGATGGCTATACTTCTGTGGTCCCAAGGAGAAATGCTTGGTGGTGGAACTAATTTTTCATGTTTCTTCCAGCAAACCTCAATATTGCCCAATCCTAAAGCTGCTCAGAACCGGCCATCACAATCATTTTCCGATGCTTTTCCCATTCAAAAGTATCCTCAAAAGCGCTTTGCGTTGCTAGGCCCCAGCCGGGATGTCCCACCTGGCGTCTGGTGCGGCGATGAAATGCTTGGTCCGCTGGAAAAGGTCGTAGAAGAAGATGGCGCAGAAGAAGGCGCCCAGCAAATTCACGGCCTCAGGCCATGGATGATGTTTTCACCGTTGGGTCATAGTGTTGTTTTGGCGAAATGGCTCACTCGTAGGGGTTATGATCTAGTAAAAGCCAGGTATTAAGTGAAGTGATCCTCAAACTAAGGATTCGTTTTAGATGCAAATTCACTGGACTTGATGGAAATCTATAGGGTTTCATTGGGATGTAGCCCTAGATTTGGACGATTGACAGGGATACACGTGGTGACCCACAGCGAGGTCTTTCTGGAAATAGTCGTCCAAGCCCCTACTTGGTGATAACTTCATCATTGGAAATTTGGCTTTGAATCTGGTGATCAGCCAATAAGTACAACTGGAGTATAGGTTGAATCCTGGATTTTAATGACAATCATTGCGTGCCACGGGTGCGGCTTTTCAAAAAGATTCCAATGGCTGTAATCATGTCGTCGAACATTTCATTCTGTGGACAGTACAGGAAAATAAACCCCGACTACTAACATCTACTAACATTGGGTACAAGGGAGAAGCGACTTCTACAATGATACTTTTTTGAAACTGAAGTTGAACGCATCAAAAGCTACCTAGTGGGGACCTACAGTTTTTAGTTGGTTTATAACCCCACGTAACTATATCCTTGATAAAGCCTAGCTATTATCGTGAACTAAACCAACTTTGCTATCGACCGGGGGCCCCAATAAACCCGCAGCTTGATGCTTTGGAAAGGACAAAAATGTCTTGGCGAAGTCCCAAGAGAAACTCCAAGTTTTGATCTGTTCAAATACCATTTTGCAAAATCATACAAGACGCTTAGGTTGCCGCTAAACTTCACATGTTTCATGGCAACATCGCCAGTGTTTGCTGGCATTTTTCCCCGGCAGCGTAAGCTAATGGGGTCTTCAGCCCAGAAAAGCTCCGGTGTGCACTGGAGGCGCCGGATCAGGTTCAACGAGGTTCCGGAAAAGGTTCCGAAGGTTCCGGAGAAGGTTCCGGGAGGCTTTGGTGCAGAGCCAGGTCAGGTTCAACAGGATTTGCGGCCATTAGATTCACGGATACCCAGCATAAAACGTTGCGGCTGTTGGGGATACCACCGAAGCTTGTTTTTCATAGTTTTTCACATTCTTTTCGTGCTACACATCACCAGTTTGCTGGTAAAATCCCCCCATCGGGGTTTCCAATCCATGGGGGTACCCCCAACTCATCCGTAAACGTGTGACCAGTGCTGGTTGGTGGTGCAAAAACCATCTTGAAAAATATGAGTTCGTCAGTGGGAAGGATGACATCCCATATATGAAATGGAAAATAAAATTCATGTTTGAAACCATCAATGGATTGGTTTAAGGGAAAATCTACAGGAAACCATAGATTTTCCAATTAAATATGGGGTTTTCCTGTAAATTTTCTCTTAAACCAATCCATTGAAACCACCAGCCAGAGTGTGACATAGTACGAAATTCTACAATACTAGTTCGTTATAACTAGCATAAACCATAGAATTCAGCCACTTTTGGGCCAGGCATTTCTCTTCACGCTATCGACGGCACCATCCTGTGGCAACGCCATGATTTTTCCATGCCATTCAGCGTAGCAAGGCCGAGGCACGACCAAGGCATGGGCCAACTGATCCACGTGAAAGTGACCATCCTGGGACACCTGGAGATGGGTGATGTTCTGTGAATCTCTAGGGATTTTGTGGTGATTTGATGGGGATTTGATCAGGTTTAAGGTTGATTTAATGGTATTTAACGAGGCAACATGGTGATTTAATGGGGAGTTAATCATGATTTAACCAACAACTCATGGGAATATGATGGGAACATGGTGGGAATAGGCAAGGCATCATGTGAATGGGGTGTTTTCTGGTGGATTTCATGGGATTTAACGAAGCAACATGGTGATCTACTGAATCCACTGGTGATATTATTTCTGTGAGATTATCATGATCACCAATAAACTCGTGGGGTTTCATATTGTCTCTCCCAATCCAGATATATATATATATATCTATGGGGGGTTTTTTGTTGGGTAAATATAGAGGTGAAATTCACCATTATTCAGCCTGCCATAGATTACCTACGATTTGTTGGAGCAACCCTATTACATATGGGTTTAACTCACGGTGCATCGTGGTGTTGGCATTCATGCATCAGCCTCCTGCTGGAGCATGCTTATGCTCTGCTCATTGGCTTCGAAGGTTTACTGTCACATCGACGCAGAAATGTCCTTTCCACACTGTGGCTGCATATGCCTCAACTCTTGCGCCGTGACCCCGGGAAGGAACTGCGCTTGCACTACCAATGGCTTCTCCGGTCACCTGGGTACACAGCTGACACGGACACGGCAAAGCGAAGACGAACGAGTCCTTCGCTATGACAAGGGCGGGGCGTTTCTTTGCGCCTTCGATGGAGGAGTTGAAAGGCTACGCCAGCGACAAGCATTTGTTATATGCCCTTTATCCCCATGAAATCACCACTGTGTTGGCTGAATCATAACATCCCTATTAAACACACATTATATCCATGTTATATAAATAAAGGTCATGCATGTCATGTTTCGCCATGTGGATGTTATACATCCATATGATTAACCATAACAAACATGAAACAATCTATCCAGAAAGATCGCCGAAGCCACACATCGTCCCTCTTCGAGTTCGTTGGAACATTCGCCACGGCACGTTGCCCAGCTTTTCGAACATGACACCACCCAGCAAGGAGCCAAGAGATCCAGCCACCATGAAAACCTGCGGTGGTGAAACATGGGGTGAGTGCCGTGAAAACATGGGGTGGAAACAAAGACGTGTGATTTCATAGGGTTTCATTGCGATTTAGTGGGGTTCATTGGGATTTCACTAGCACACATTGTTGTTTTAGTGCGAATTTTTTGGGATATCACAGGGATATACAGCGCACTAAAAATTGGATAATTAAGGGTGTTCACCATGAACAAGTGTAGAACAAACATCACACATTTAGTTGTCTTTTTTGAGGGAATCGATTTATTTGGTATACGATAATAAGATCGATGGGATACATGGTTGGCTACCTTTTTCCAATGGAAACTGTTGTATGGATTCGAAATCATATCGCCGGTCTGGTTTCATTTTGACATTGGATAAAATGGGAAACGTCAGATATACTGGTATACACACATTTATATATATATATATAGTATACGCATAGACTTAATACCATTTCTTCTGAATTCCTACCAAATCGCCTAAACACCACTGTATTCCCATTATATCCCCATCAAGTGGTTGGCTTTACACACCATTTCGGTCTGTTACAGTAACTCATGGGGCACCACATTGTAATCGAAACCGTGTCTTGGGTCCAAAATTCCCTCGAACTTTCGCCCAGAAACGGTGCTAATGGCTGCTTGCATACCTGGCAGCCACCGACGATCATTTATGTACCACCAGCCCTGGTTAGGTGACAAACCCAATACATCCCAAAATTCGAATTGTCTGCAATATTTTCTGGAATTAAATAGGCGATCAAACAAACGTAAGCATCACCCCGTTGCAACATCAGTTTCTGTGGTCCAATGGATATTGCACAACACTTGTGTCCTTCACACGGGCAAAGTGGATCATGCCGAATCATGCCGAATCAAAGTAGCCATTGTTTCAATGCACACGGCGTTGGTCATAGCGCTGATATATTGACCCAGTCTGCTGGATTCCCTGCAAATTCTGGCAATTTCTTGGTTTGCTCAAACAGCCCTGCTCAAAATGCCCATCTGATCATCTGGTGGTTTTAACTCATCCCAAAGCAACCAATATCTGATCATCTGGTTGATCATTTGGTTAACTCCCAATATTCGTAATCTCAACCAATCGTCCCCTTGGGAGGCCATGCGGAGATCAGTTACCTCTGCTAAGCGACAAATAGTCTCTGGTAATTGGAGCTATGGTGTAGATGGCCCATAGAAATAGATAACTTACCTGGTTCATGGTGCAATTTCACCATCTTGAAAAATGATGGGCTTCGTCAATGGGAAGGATGACATCCCATATATGAAATGGAAAATGAAATTCATGTTTGAAACCACCAATGGATTGGTTTAAGGGAAAATCAACTTCTAAACTTCCTTCGATTATGGAAAATCAAAGTCCTGTTTGAAACCACCAACCAGTTACCTATTAGAAGTGGTGATTTTCCATAGCTGAACTTACCGAGTAGAAAGATTGTCTCTGAAAAGACCGGGAGATGACCTGCATAAACACATCTGTTTTGTGCCGTGTGGTTTGTCAACAGATACAAATGCTCTGAATGCTCATGGACTTGGTAAACACACATGAAATCATATACCAGAATGGGTGATTCTCCAGCTTGTCATACCTTATCCGTTTGATAGTCATTGAAAGAACATGCATGCTTGGTGGCTTCAACCACGAAACCAACTTAGCGCGCACTTCGAAGCAACTGTTGTCAACTATGCATCTCCATTTTTTGTTGATTCAACGCCCAAATTTCTTGGTTTCCAAGAAGTACACACCAAAGAACCACATCATAAAATCGGTAAGTCATGGCGAATCCACATGAAATACTCTGGTAAACATACAGAAAACTATGGAAAATCATCATGTTGAATGGGTTTTTATCAACTATTTCGACTGGGCCATGGCTTCTATGTCGCAAACTGTAACAGCCATTACCAGGAGGGTAGCCTTCACCGGATGGCGCCGAGCTGCGGCCCTGCTCCTCTTCCCCAACGAGGCGACTCTTGAGACCCGCCACGGCCGGTAAGGCGAAGGTCATGGGACCCGCGCAGAAGCAGCAGTTGATGTAGGCCTGGGACCAGCAACAAGTGGGATGTTTTTTTTCGAACACATTTTCATGATATCACAAAAAATATTGATGGTATCTATGTTATAAATATATGTATCATTATCTATATTTGTTATTTTTTTGTTCTGTTTTCATCAACAAAGTAAGTAATGATCATATGACAAGTCGAAGTACCTTGGGATAAAAAAGCGTTTTTTTTTCGCATAGTTCTTCTGACGAAAAATGAATACATTTGAAGCAGTCTTCTTGAGTCCAGGTTGAATGGGGTTTCACTGTGAATTCGGATTGAAAGAAACAACATAGGGAGGTTTCCCAGGTCATAGGGCTACCCCCAAATCATCCATTTTAAGGGCATTTTCCATTATAAACCATCCAGCGATAAAGGGGTACATTTCAGGAAACCTCCATAGAGAGGGAACAATGTCCTTGTGGGAAAGATTGGGAAAGCCCGGTCTGGTACCTATCACTTACCACTGCTTTTTTTTCCATTTATTAACCAAGATTTACCATTTATTTACCATTTATTTACCATTTATCATCACTTTACCAACCAGTAGAAAAAGGACATCTATGCGAATCCAACTGATCCTTTATCAGTTTTTGTGGGGATGATCCAGCTGTTCGCAAGCCATCAGAACGGAGATGCAAAAACGGCGGTCCTGGTCAGTCCTTTAGATTGAAAATTGGAACACGGCACGGGGTTTGGGTGAAATTTGGATATGTATGAATATATATATATATCTATATATACATACATTACAGTACATTACATTACATTGCGTTGCATTGCATTGCATTGCATTGCGTTGCGTTGCGTTGCATTGCATTGCATTGCATTGCAATGCATACATATATTTAAATATACATGTATGTATGTATGTATGTATCTATCTATCTGTCTATCTATCTATCTATCTAACTATATATATATACACATACATGTATATGTATATATGTATACATATGTAGAAAAGCAAATGAGATATGCAGGCAAATACCATGACCATTAGCCTGGAAAACATCGACACGCAGCCAGAGAGGGATTCAAATGGGATGATCTGCTGGGGCCCCGTATCACGTTGAAACAGCGTTGAAACCCACCATCCCGAAACCCCTTGGGCCTGTGCGGGTCGAAGTAAACCTTGGTGAAATGGCTGGTGACCAGTTCCGGATAGGAAAACATGCTGATCATATGGGAATATACCATGGGAAATTCTGGATACCAATGGGGATTCAACCAGAGAAACCAAGCGTCTCAAACGGCAAGGGACGATGTGAGTCTAAAGCTGCGTATCAGAAGCCTCTAGGAGCAGGCAATTGCCATGGATCAAAAATGAAGGAACTACCTTGGGTCAAAGGTTAACAGTGTTGGGGTGTTGTTTTAAGCCTCTCGTCACACACGGATCTCTATGTTCGGTGGAGAATCCAAAGGATGAAATGGAAACCTTCGACTCCTTTTCAGTTGCCCAAATCCCCATTTTGCCGGTGGGTGGTTGCGAAATCCTGCACCACAAGGATGGTTGAAACCCTGTAAATAATGGGATGTTTTACCATCTATCAACTGGTGCAGGACTTCGCAACCATCCATAGTAACTTTTGGGTGGCATTTTATGGTAGGTATATCTGGAGCTAAGAGGGTTTATGATGATATGGTTTATCTGTATGGATTGTATGGTGATTTAATGGGACTTTGCAACAACAAATGAGGGTTCTTATGCGATTTAAATGGATTTAAGCAAAGCAAATGCTGATTTAACGGGATTTGACCAACAACAATGATACTGATTTGATGGTTGCAAAATCCGATAAACCATCAAAAGGATGGTTGAAACCCTATAAATTAGTTTATAAACCCAACTAGTTCGATATATCACCTATAAACCAAAGTTATTGGAGTTATGATCCTATAAATCATGGTTGAAACCCTAAAAATCATAGGATAACCCCCAACAAAATCATGGGATGTGTAAACCACCGGACCTATCAACTGGTGCTGCAGGATCTCGTCCCCCCCCAAAACCCCGTTGTTTTCCTAGCGAGCCACCGACCCCCACCAGGATGTAGACGGTGCTCGCCACGCGTCCAAAGGCCATGGCGCCCACCTCTCCGGCAAACCAGACGATGACGGAGAAGAAACACGTCATCCTTGAGAGCTACAGGGTGAGGTAAAAATATGGGCATTTTCATGGGTTTCATGGGGACGTGTTTTAGGTGATTTAAGATGATTTAATGATATTTCAGGATATTTAGCGAAACATGATGATTTTCATGGGAAAATCATGGGTTTTGATGTTATTTGAATCATGTTTGAGGTTAAGAATGGTGATTTTTGAAGGATATGATGGGAGATAATGGGGATATTGGAACTTGTACTGGATTGAAACAACTCACATGGTGATTTTCGTGAGATTTTTGACGCATAAGGGGTGATTGTTGGGAATATACCGTTTTTTTTCAAGGATTTAATGGGAATGTAATAGGGATATGATGGGGATGCTTGACATACGGTGCATCTTCACGATCTTCAACAAAAGGCGCCGTCCAGATGATCGACCAACTCTGAGTGTTGCCTGGTCCTGTACTGGATTTGAATGAGATATGATACTTGGATATACTTGGCGGTTCATCATAGGTTAGTGGGCTAGGTTAGTGGGGTTAGTCCACTTCTGACTGGGGTTGCAACCCACTTACATACTAACTGGGACAAATGGAATATATGCAGCCAATCAGATGTAAGCGGAGCATGCAACCAGTGGATGGATCCCCCCAAGTTGATCCATATGAACATCTTGGTGCTGCATTTTGCGACCCAAAAAAACTGAAACGACAGTAACAAAGAGATCTTTTTTGGAATCTGCTATATCTATATATCATTGGTTTGTGACGCAATATCATGAATTTCTTTGGGAAATCCAGACAACAGGTTTAGAAACAACAGCAGTGAGCTGTTTGGGTTGGGTGAGAAGTCACACCCGACAACACCGATGAATTAGTTTGGGGTCTGATGAGGAACAGATGGAAATCCAATCCCCCATTTACACCATCTCACCGTACTGAAACATGGCTGGAAAATCCACGACTTCGTTCGATGATTTTCCCAGCTACCCTCTGGTAAACGTTAACAAAAAACTATGGAACATCACCATATATAATGGGTAAATCCACTATTTCTATCATCATTTTCAATGTCGCAAAGTGTACCAGTCATTACCAGAGGCTATAAACCTCCATTTCCTCATTGCGGAAGGGTACCATCTGTGCATATCCTAAACCGTCAAAGACTCCACACGATCATGGAGATATCCCAGTAAAACTCGAAGGAGTAGGAGTCCTTGGTGGGAAGAACTCAGGAATTCAGGGTTGTATGACATTTGCCCTCTGGTAATTTGTTACATAGCTATGGAACATCACCATTTATAGTGAATTTTCTCATGAACAATGGGGATTTTCCATAGTTTTTTGTATGTTTACCAGAGGGTATGGCTGATTTTTCATGGGATTTTATGGGATTTAAGTAACCGCAATGGTGATTCAATAAGATCTCATGGAATGAGCCATCAAAATCACTGGGTCGTTTCAACACCCCTGAAAAGGATGCGACCGTCAGCCAGGGGATCATCCTACGGTTGATCACAAAGAGAACAGAATTTCAAGCACCGACGAGTTTCTTGTTGGTGGTGCAATTTCACCATCTGGAAAAATGATGGAGTTCGTCAATGGGAAGGATGACATCCCACATATGAAATGGAAAATAAAATTCATGTTTGAAACCACCAACCAATTTTCGTTTGTTTTGGTCAAATATCCAGAGGGACCATCGTATTTTTTTGGTCGACAGAAATTGAAGGACCTAGCCACCAAACGGGACTGCCAGCCAGAATTGGCATCTTGATGGTCGCAACAAAGAGAACATCTTTTTTTCTAGATTCACAAGGCCAAAACATCATAATGAAAATCAATATTGGAAACCAACCTTGGTGTAGTTGCTTGTCATTGCAGTCCATTTATTCAAACAGGTTTGATCTGTTGTTTGAACCTGTGCCCGCCGCGTAGACAAGCTTGTCAGGACAGCAAGAAAAATGTCACGGTACTCAAGAAGGCAGTAATGTGGGCAACCCAATGCCGTAAACAACTCCCATTTGGGATTACCACATTAGTGGGATGGTTTCTTATTGGGATAGTGTACTATTGATACCACAACAGCACCCACAAATATACCACCCATAAAAATAGTGAATTTTGGCAATTAGTGGCTTATTTTTATGGGCTTTATAAACCATTGGGGAAAGAGGCTTATATATATTATAAAGCGAATATACCACCCATATGAAATCATAAACCATAATATATGGTTAATAACCTTTAGTAACCATATATTAACCGTAAATGAACCATATATTAACCATGGTTAATAAACAATATATGGTTTTGTAATATATGGTTTTTGGTTTCTTGGCACCGTGACGGCACGGCTTTGGGCCGTGGATTTGATGAGTCGATGATGAATGGCATATTTTCTCCATGGGTCCACGAAAGCGACTGGGGAATCGATTAATAAAAAGGGAAGATTGGCTTGGCATTTTTTGGTGGTTCCAAAAAAACAAATCCATGATAACCCTGGTTACATGTTTTGTGAAAGAAAATCTATAGACATCCATAGACTATAGACTATATCATGCATAGTTCTGGCATGTTTTCGCTCGTTCTTACAGGATAAGCCAAGGGTGTTCATTGAGCAACAAAGGGTCCACAATACAAAACCACATCTCTGTGTTATCACAAAAGGGTGACTATACAATTAAATGACCGGATAACCCCACAAGTCAACTTCTTCCAATAATGAGCAACAAATGTTGTAGCGGGAACGGGGAAGGAAGGAAAGACAAAGGAGGTGGTGGAGGATCGAGAAGTAAAACAAGTAAAACAAGATCGCTTTCCATTGCAGATTTGCCACCCCCCTGTCCACACTTACAAGTTTCTATTTCTTTAATGAAAGGTGGATGGACAGAATGTGCCTAGAAGTTGTCATACCCATGCAGATCGACTAGTCTGAACACTCCAGCAGCTGCTAAATGCTGCAAACAGATTCATTGCACCACTTATTGCGCAACACCTGAAGTTCACGCCAGATGCAACAGCACTTTAGACTGAGATAACAAACCCATCGGCTTGGAGATAGAACTCATCTCTGAAGATCCACAGGGCCTAGAATGTCGGTGAGGGTGCCGCAAGTGATCGTCTGCTCCTCAGGCTTCTGCAACAGCCGCTCCACCACCCAGTCGCCTCTTTGCCACTGAAATTCTGGATGCGTTTCGAAAGCCACGATACCAGATTGTCAGCAACTCTTTACCTCCCCAGGCCCACATGTGTGCGCGCAGATGCGCTTGAGCACCGGCCTAATTGATCAATGAATCAATGAATCAATGCCATCACCAGCATGGTTTCACTTGCACTATGAATCCCATGCGCCCAATACATCTGTATTTCTGTGTGTTTTTTAATGGCAACCTCCTTGACAGAATATCGTGTGCCCAACCACAACATGAGATCTGGAATTTAAAATTAAAGGACCGGATGACCCCACAAGTCAACTCCTTCCAATAATGATCTACAAATGTTGCAGGGGGAACGGGGAGTGAATGTGATGGATGATCGAGAAGTAAAACAAGTTGTATGTGAAGAGTTGTGTGTGACAAAGTGGTATGTGAAAGATGGTGTGTGACAAAGAGAAATGGTGTGTGTGACAAAGTTGTGTGTGAAAGATGGTGTGTGTGAAAGTTGTGTGACAGACAACATGCGTAAACATGCCAAACCATGCCCAAAAAAGTTAAAACATGCCAAAACGAGCCGGCAGCGTGCCATGAAGGGTTCTAAACAGCTTCGACGAAATATTGATCCGATGACCGAGTGCTTGCGCTAGAATCATCGTCTGTAATTTCTGCTTGAGCCAAAGCGATCAAAGCAGAACGAGATGATAGGACTACCGTTTGTTTCTGCTCCGGTATGATGTGGCCGATCTGTCATGATACTATGCATGCAAATGATTGACGCTGTTTCCATGGACGAAAAGATGGTCTGTGACAAAGTCGTGTGAGTGAGATGGTGTGAGAAAGATGAAATGTTTTGAAACAAAGGTAGATGGCACCAAGTGCCACCCCTGACATGCAAAGCCAAGGTGGATGTCACCAAGTGCCACGCCTGCCACACAAAACCAAGGTAGATGTCGCCAAGTGCCACGCATGCCACGCAAAACGAAGGTGGATGTCACCAAGTGCCACGCCTGCCACATGAAATGAAGGTGCATGTCACTAAGTGCGTTGCCAAGTGCCACGCTTGCCACGCGAAACGAAGGTGGATGTCACCAAGTGCCACGCCTGCCACATGAAATGAAGGTGCATGTCACCAAGTGCCACGCCTGCCACGCAAAGTGCCGCGGCGTCACCGGCGACCAACGGCGACCAAGCGCGCCACCAGGTGCCGCGCCTGCCACGCGAAACGCAGGTGGATGTCACCAAGTGCCACACCTGCCACGTGAAACGAAGGTGGATGTCACCAAGTGCCACGCCTGCCACGCAAAGTGCCGCGGCGTTACCGGCGACCAACGGCGACCAAGCGCGCCACCAAGTGCAACTTGTGCCGCGCCTGCCACGCGAAACGCAGGTAGATGTCTCCAAGTGCCACACCTGCCACGTGAAACAAAGGCGGATGTCGCCAAGTGCCACGCCTGCTATGCAAAGCGCCACCAAGTCTGCCACGCCAAACACAGGTGAAATGAAGGTGGATGTCACCAAGTGCAACGCCTGCTACGTGAAAGGAAGGCGGATGTCGCCAAGTGCCACGCCTGCCACGCAAAGTGGCGCGGCGTCACCGGCGACCAACGGTGACCAAGCGCGCCACCAAATGCAACTGGTGCCGTGCCTGCCAAGCAAAATCAAGGTAGATGTCGCCAAGTACCACGCCTGCCACACAAAACCAAGGTGGATGTCACGAAGTGCCACGCCTGCCACATGAAATGAAGGTGCATGTCACTAAGTGCGTCGCCAAAATGCCACACCTGCCGCGCGAAACGAAGGTGGATGTCACCAAGTGCCATGCCTGCCACACAAAACCAAGGTGGATGTCACCAAGTGCCACGCCTGCCACATGAAATGAAGGTGCATGTCACTAAGTGCGTTGCCAAGTGCCACGCCTGCCATGCAAAGTGCCGCGGCGTCACCGGCGACCAACGCCGACCAAGCGCACCACCAAGTGCAACTTGTGCCGCGCCTGCCACGCGAAACGAAGGTGGATGTCACCAAGTGCCACGCGTGCCACATGAAATGAAGGCGGATGTTACCAACTGTCAAGCCTGCCACGCGAAAGGAAGGCGGATGTTGCCAAGTGCCACACCTGCCAAGTGAAAGGAAGGCGGATGTCGCCAAGTGCCACGCCTGCCACGTGGTGTGTGAAAGATGGTGGTTGACAAAGATGTGCGTGAAAGAAGGTGTGTGACAAAGATGTGTGTGAAAGATGTTGTGTGAAAGATGGTGAGAGATTTGTGTGACAAAGATGGTTCACAAAGATGTGTGTGAAGGATGGTGTGACAAAGATGGTGTGTGAAAGATGGTGGTTGACAAAGATGTGTGTGAAAGATGGTGGTTGACAAAGATGTGTGTGACAAAGATGGTGTGTGAAAGATGTGTGTAAAAGATGGTGGTTGACAAAGATGGTGTGTGAAAGATGGTAGTGGACAAAGATGTGTGTGAGAGATGGTGTGTGAAAGATGGTGGTTTGCAAAGATGTGTGTGACAAAGATGGTGTGTGAAAGATGGTGGTGGACAAAGGTGTGTGTGAGAGATGGTGTGTGACAGATGGTGGTTGACAAAGATGTGTGTGACAAAGATGGTGTGTGAAAGATGGTGGTTGACAAAGATGTGTGTGAAAGATGGTGGTTGACAAAGCTGGCGTGTGAAAGATGGTGGTGGACAAAGATGTGTGTGAGAGATGGTGTGTGAAAGATGGCGGTTGACAAAGATGTGTGTGACAAAGATGGTGTGTGAAAGATGGTGGTTGACAAAGATGTGTGTGAGAGATGGTGTGTGAAAGATGGCGGTTGACAAAGATGTGTGTGTGACAAAGATGGTGTGCGAAAGATGGTGGTTGACAAAGATGGTGTGTGAAAGATGGTGGTGGACAAAGATGTGTGTGAGACATGGTGTGTGAAAGATGGCGGTTGACAAAGATGTGTGTGACAAAGATGGTGTGTGAAAGATGGTCGTTGACAAAGATGTGTGTGAAAGATGGTGGTTGACAAAGATGGTGTGTGAAAGATGGTGGTGGACAAAGAGGAGGAGCGTGTGGAGGAGGAGGAGGAGCGGGCGGAGGAGCGGGAGGCGGAGCGGGAGGGATTCAGAAGCAAAAACAAGAACCCCACACAAAGATGTGGGGAAAAAACATCTCAAGTAGGGCATATGGTTGATGATTGTGATTTAAAATGGCCACATATTGCCACCAACGAATGATAACTAATGTATATAAAAACTTGGTCTCAACTAGCCTTTTATTGATAGATGACAGCCCCCCCCGACTGAAATCACCACCCAGTCTCTTGTGATGACCAGTCCATTTTCCGTTGGTAGTAGGTCCCCATCATGCGATTCGTGCTGTTGTCCACAAACGCAGCGATGGCCGTCACGATGGACAAGTTTCCTCGCGTTTCACCGAATTTCACGGAGTTTGAGGTGAGCAAGAACTAGGATTTATTCAGGATACATCAGGATATATCACCTACCAATATAATATTTAGGTATGTCTGAGAAGGGGGCCCCCGAAATGGCCAACATGATGGGGTAAATAATTTTCAGACAAAAACCATACAATGAATCAAATGGAAACCGTCGTAGGGTAGGACAGAAGCATGATGGAGCCCTGATTGTTTTTTGACTTCCATGGCATTACATGGAAGGTCATGCAGCGCAATGCTGGATGGGCAACCCCGTACTGCCCACCAGTAGAACGGGAAGATCATGTTCCATGTCAACAGTCATCTAAAAATATAGGGCTTCACACTAGCGAATTTCACCAATTCACCAAAGGGTAGATGCCACGACCCTTGATTTCTGGCACCATAGCAACTGGAAAAGGAACCTGTGGGCGGTGGATCAAGTTTTTGATTCCGCGATTCTTAAAATAATTGGTACCCAAACCACTGCTTTCAGTGGATTCATATGACCCACCTCAGGACCATTGGAATATGGATCCAACAACTCAAAAGTGCAGAGTGGAAAATGGGTGACTTAATGGAATTTCAGTAGGAGATATATTGGGCAAAAAAGAATATGTATTGGGAATTAATGGTGAATGGGAAATTCATGGCTACAGGTCATCCAAACAGCCCAAACTCAATGGTGCTCCAGCTTGTCCCATCCAATTGGGGGTCCAAGTCTGGTGTCATTTGTCATTTCGGGACCACTTAAGGTGTGCCCTCCAGCAGGCGCGTGCAGAACCGCCGAATGTCGTCCAAGGATCTAAGGGTTTGAGTTCTCCAAAGGATTGGAATGGAATCCCAGGGAACAAAGTTGCCTCGTTTTCGAAGCCGGAATGGAACCCGATGGAATCTGAAAGGATCTGGGTCAATAGGGTAGCCTTGAAATTTGGCAATCATAGTTATGGTTAACCCCCATTAATGATTGATAACCCCCATTATTAGGGATTGGTATAACGCAAAGCAGTAAAACACTTCGACGTTTTTTCTTTGAGGTCTTAGACTTTGATCCATACGGATGCGGATGACAGGGACATTGTCTCAACTGGTGGCATGGAAATCCATCCCAAAACCAACTGGTTGGTGGTTGAGCCCTACCCCTCTGAAAAATGATCGAGTTCGTCAGTTGGGATGATGAGATTCCCAGTATGATGGGAAAATAAAACATGTTCCAAACCACCAACCAGTTAACCTTGGTTCCGTACTTGGTTTCCGACTTTCACACTGGGTACCTGGTACCCAACAGCACATGACGATGTTTTTTTTTCCAGGGCAGGACATTTGATCGAATCATCAATCTGAGAATGACAAGGTTCTATCAGAAACAACATTTCTATCAGAAACAACATTCTTCTCTATACATAGATGTTTCATTTCATCTATAGTATATATATAAAATAATGTCTAATGTTTACACCATCTACATATGTCACATATATCTACTATATATAAAACATAATCTTATGGGAGAACTTGCAGTCACATATACATATACATATATATATATACACATACTCACAATATATAATCAACTTGGTAACTTGGATGGACATCCACGGCTTCCTACGGCCCGGTGCACGGCCGGGCCCACGGTGGACCATCCGAGGTGCTAGGCTTCAGCTGCGCCCAGGAACGCTTCTCGGGTGGCAACGTTTCAGGGAAGAGCGCGAACAAATAGAGCGCGGTCACGATGTTCATCTGGGAAACTTTCTCCGGGGTGATCTTGATCTTGATATATTGTGATATATCTTATGATTTCATGGGAGTATCCATGGACATTTTGTTGTGACAATATGACATCGCCGACATCGCCGACATCCATCCAGGGATTTGATGAGATGAATATCAGGATACCCAAGGTATATATATATATGGTTGAATATACCCATTCATTGGCTCTCAAAACCCTTGTCTCTTGGCAGGGATGCTCTAATCGACTTCTTCAAATGCTTCTGTAAGATAATCCAATCAACCTGCAGTTGGGACTTACCCCAGTGATCCAGTGATCATCAGTGATGGATGACGGGAAAACAGAAAGTTATTAGTCTAATGCCATCAGATCCACCAGTTACCCATCCCTTGTTCAGTGCCCTGTATTTATTAATCTGATTCCATGTGACTAATGTGGGTAGAACAATAATAAACCATCCCCCAAATCACCATAAATAGGTGGTATACACCATTCCCAGATGGGTGGTTTATTATTGTTTTACCCGCATTATCCCGGTTGAAACTCACATATCTCATGGCAATAAAGGGTAACTACTTTGGCAATACCTGGAGTTAGCAGACTTTCTGTGGATATCTGGGCACCTGAAGAAATGGGTGTCGGGTAGATTCTCGATAGCCAATACAGTCTGTAAACCAACAGGCATTATTCGGAGGGCATCACTACAATGTGGGGCCCCTAAGATAGCTAAGTTTGGTTTATAACTCCAACAACTATGGTTTATGGTAGATATAGCTATATTAATGGGGTTTATAAACCAATTTATAACGTTTGGGGGCCCCACATTGTATCTATATTTCTACACACTCCTTTTACCCTTAAACAACAAAATCCCCAAAGGTTGAGTACGCTTACCTCTGTTGATGGGTAAACATCCTGAAAGCCTCAAAGACCACCCATTTAATGGTGATGACATCCCTATTGATTGGCGAATAATGGCCGGACAATTTAATAGTCAATCTGCGAAACACCAGATAGCGATATCTTCCACTGATATACTTGGATTTCATATCATTCATATTTGGCTTTTTACCCCAATCTTCTTGGTAAACTCAATCATTCTGGTCATATCAAATATGTCCCACATCCAAACCACCAGCTTGTGAGGGGCAACGCATTGCCAAGGCAGGGGCGCCCTAGTTCTTGACCACCTTGGCTCAATCCCATCAAGTTCCATTAAATCACCATAAAAAAACCACCATTAAATCACCATGAAATACCATCAAATCAGCATGAAATACCAACACTTTTTCAACTCTTATGAACTATACATCAGCATTGTTCCAACCGTCTTGGGGGCACCGCCCATTGCACATCGGCCAAGACACACAAGTGGCTACGATGTAGGTCTCTTTGAGCTGAAGGTGATACCTGAGGCCGGAGATGGGGGATTAATGATGTTTAATGGCAGGTACACTACCAATAATAGAGGTTTCACGAAGCAACTTCATGACACTCCCATTATTGGTAATATACCCCTGATGTCAAAAAATCTGATTTCATGGAGCTTCAACTAGCAATAAAAGGGCTTTGGGGCTTTGTTGAAAACAGAATTTGACCCAAAATAGGGCCTTCTTTGCTGCCAGGAGACCTCCAAATCTGGTGAATCATTCTGTTCTCGCTTTGATTGCTGCTGGATTCTGGATATATAAATAAAGGCAACCATGGCAGGGAAAATCCAGCATTTATACCTGATTTTACCATTAACACTTCCATTTCTAATTACTTCCTCTAATTTTCCTATCGTTTCACCATGGTTTTCCAATTAAAAACTTCAATTTTCAGGTACACAAGCCGCACACCGAAACTGCGCCAGGGAACCCAAGAAGGAGACCAATGACGTAGGCGATGGTGTCTAAGGCGTTGATGATGCCCATGCCTGGGGGACGGATGGATAAAATACAAGAATCAATATCCATTTATCATAAGAAGTGTAGCCAATAGTTGGATAGATAATGATATTAGTTATAAAAATAAGCGATGAGAGAGAGAGATATATATATATATAAGTTTATTACTCATGTATGCAATGAGTAGTAGATGATATATTATTAGTCATAACTAACTCCATAAGCTTATTCATTATGATCAACCAATATCATTATTCAATATCAGAATTAATTATCAATATCACTGTCATGATAATGGATAAGTTAGATGAGTAATGACCAATAGTTGGGGATGGATGAATAGCCCCAAGGCTGATGGTTGAGTATAGATGATAAGACAGGAACGTTGCTCCACCGAACCCAGAATCCAGAACTGGAAACAAAAGTGATAGGAACCCTCTATGTTCAATGATAAAGACAATGGTTTCCTCATATCTCCCTCAAAGCAATTCATTAAAAATCTCGAGGTGGCGATGGATACTAAAGAACAACTCCAACAACTGGGATTTTTGGCTGGTGACTTCTGGCTGTTCCTCCATTTTTTTGGGGCTAAAAACCCAATGGGTTTCTCCGTTTCCACCGGTGAAACCCCCGTCGAAACGTCCGCCGTCGGTCCCCAGCGGGGCGCCTGCTGCGCGGTCCCGGGGCTTCAGGAGATCCACGCAGGCGGCGTTCAGCACCGTGGTGCAGACCTGGGTGTTCATGAAGGGCTGCCTCGGTCAGCTGCCCCTGAGATATTGTATAATATATATATATATACTATATATATAAATATCTATGGGTCCTACAGAGATATTGTATGTAATAAAACTGATATATATATATGTATATACATATATATATATATCTATGTGTATATATATATATATCTATGTGTATATATATATATATCTAAAAATATGTCTCTATATCTCTTTGTATATATCTAAATATATAGCACATGGAAGTAGATGTTGATCGATATATCACTTGAATCATATGCTAGTAAGTGGGGATATAGGTACGAAGTATCTGGGGTTTGTCCATGTGCCAAGAGCGGTAGGTTGGTTTGCAACTGAGGATTTATAGTGGATATATCCACGAACTATAGATATAACGCCCCTATTTGTAGCATGTTTCGTAGTGAATATCGTTCATACATCTTATCTAGTTCATATAGTACATGAAGTTGATCTATGTTGATATACCTGAAAATTCGTTGCTAGTAACATATCTATATTTATTATCAATGGGGCTCAAAAACAACAACAAACATAACGAGCAGACCAACGGTGCTATGTAGGGAACATATTGGGTGACTGAGTCATTGGGATCACGATCGCAGGTCAAATGGACATATCAGCTGAACAACACATCACAATTCGTTCTCAATAAACACTGGTTGGTCACCAAGATCTGGCTGGTGCTTGAGCCCTAGCCCTCTGAAAAATATGAGTCAGCTGGGACTATGACATTCCCAACTGGATGGAAAAATAAAACATGTTCCAAACCACCAACCAGAGATTTTAAAGATCCCTTAGCCACATTTAAAGAAATCCAGTGAACATTAAAAGACAATTTTCAACATCACACACCCGCAGCTCTTATTCAAGCCGCTGCTCTCAAGGTTATTGCGGCACACTACAGATACAACAGCTGCTCTTGAACTGGAGAGCAATCGCCACTTTGGTTTAGTTGACCCCAGGCAACCACTGAGCCATCAGCCGAGATAGCCGCAAATGCTTTTGATGTGGCTTGAACCTGCTGGACATTGATGAGCCGGTCTTGAACCGACGAACAGTCACCACCCCAGGCTGGATCGCCCCAGGTAATTATAGATCCATCGGACAAAATCGCGGCAAATGCCATATCTGCGGCTTGAATTTGTTGCACATTCCTCAGCTGATCTTGAACTGCAGAACAGTCGCCACCTCGGTTTGGATGGCCCCAGGCAACCACTGACCCATCGGCCAAGATTGCGGCAAATGCACCTTCTGTGCTCTGAATTTGCTGCACGTTGTTGAGGTGACCTTTCACTGCGGAGCAGTCACCGCCCAAGTCTGAATAGCCCCAGGCAACAGCAGATCCATCGGCCAAGATAGCCGCAAATGCACCACTCGTGCTCTGAATTTGTTGCGCATTAATTTGCTGATCTTGAACTGTGGAGCAGTCACCGCCAGTGTCTGGATCGCCCCAGGTAACAACGGATCCATTGGCCAAGATCGCGGCAAATGCGTAATCTGTGGCCTGAATTTGCTGCACGCTCCTAAGCTGATCTTGAACTGCAGAGCAGTCACCGCCATAGTCTGGACCGCCCCAGGCAACCACCGATCCATCGGCCAAGATCGCAGCAAATGCGTTAGCTGTAGCCTGAATCTGCTGCACGTTCCTCAGCTGATTTTGAACTGCGAAGCAGTCACCACCATACTCAGGAAGGCCCCAGGAAACAACAGATCCATCAGACAAGATTGCAGCAAATGCATAATCTGTGGCCTCAACCTGTTGCACACTGATGAGCTGATCTTGAACGCATGAACAGTCACCACCCCAGGCTGGATCGCCCCAGGCAACCACTGACCCATCGGCCAAGATCGCTGCAAATGCGCAGCTAGTCGCTTGAATTTGTTGCACATTTGTCAGCTGATCTTGCACTGAAGAACAGTCACCACCATTGCGTGGATCGCCCCAGGTAATCACTCTGTTGCCTCCACAGCACCACAGAGCAAAAGCCTCAGTTGTTGCACTTAAGTTTGCTCGCTGTGCCACTGCAGTTATGTACTCTCCGTCTTGCACCCCTGCAGCTTGCAAAGAGTCCTCAGGGTTGGTCAGAACATGCCCCTCGACAGTGACGAGTTTCAGGAAGCCGCGCTGGAAAGATCTTTGGGCCAGGAGTTTCAAGTCCCCCACTTTGGAGTGTTCAGGAAGTCGCAGAGTTTCTCCAGAACCGCTCGGGAACGATATATTTACTTGAAGCATCGAAGAAAGAGCAGCAAAAAAAATCAAACGATTCACTCAAAATATCATCAACATGAAGCAATATCTCGAGCCATATGTGCAACAGTCCTGTTTACCTGCAAATTTTTCAGGGGCTTCAGTCAAAAAGCTGGTTGCGAACTGATGGGTTGCTTGGATCCTGTACCAGATTTAAGACTGAAATTTCAGGCATCTTTGGTGAACACCCAAATAGCTGGGGGAGCTGGTTTGCATCCCACCCAACGATTTCAGAGGGCCAACTCCAACAACATCACGAATCTTCCTGGACCATTCCTGGCTTCAAATATTGGAAACAAGAAATCATGTCGACTGATTTGAAAAAGTCGATAAAAAAAGATGAGCAGTGTTCAAAAGCTTCTGTATTTCTATTGTAGTGGTTATTTAACATAGCCATGGAAAATCACCATGCTGTTAATAGGTAAACCATCTATAAATGGGCCATTTTGCATGGATATGTTAAATAACCAGAGGGTATTGTACTGGTTGATATAGAATGGGATTCTCTTAATGGACTATGATAATCCTCAACATCCGTATGCGACGCAACTGCTGCGGCATGCGTCAACTACACTACAATATTGGATGCTATAAACCCCTATCAAATGATCAAGCAACAGGGGTTTAGCAGCCATTGCTCGTCTTGAAAACAAGTCAAACTACCAATTTTCGATGGTTAAATCCCATCAAAGAACTATATCCTCGTATATCCCAGATGAGATTGTCCTTGATATTTTCAACCCCATCACAGTCATCGTCTTCCATGGTGATCACATCGCGACATCGCAGCACAACTGCCGAAGTCGCCACGCGATGGAGAACCAAAAGCTCAAATTGCAGAAAACAAAGAGATCCTGAGCAAAGCCATGGCCCAGCCATGGCCATTATTTTGAATTTGAATTTGCTTGGGGTAGAATAGTCAGTGTTACATGATGTGATTTTTTTCAGCATTCTGCAAGTAGAAAACCTACCTGAAAACCTACAGAAAAGGCTGAAGACGATCTCCACGAAATGGCAAATTCTTGGATTCAACAGGATTCAACTTATGGGGAATGGATTAATCCCAACAGTTTTGAACACGTTGATCCATGTCCGCAGATATTGGATGATCATGGATCAACATGATTTTCAAAACACCGTCGCTGCTGCTCAGTGACTGTAGTGACTAAGGAGATGTTGGAGAGAAGAAAGACCACTATGAGGGCTCTCCTGCATCGTCAAGATGGGACCCATGGCCCCTTGAAGCGCAACTGAAATCGAAGGCCGAAACTTCCCGCAACTGCCCATTGATCAGTGTACAATCATGAATCATGAGGTAAACGCAAAGACAAGTCATCTCCGAGGTTTCTACGCAAGCCTATTTGGGATGATCTAAATGCCGCCCAAATGGTGAATTGATGGGATGGTATATTATTGGGCTTGCCAAATTACTATGTCCTTCAATTTTAGTGGGAAACTCATCCCTTTTCAAGTATATCATTTTTTTTGGCATTTAAAACCAAAATAAATGATGGCAGGGTAAAATATGGTAAATCATCAACATGGATTTTGATCACTGCTCCTTAAATCCACATTCCAACCGGGGTTGCCAATCCTAGATATCCTGCGAACAATGCACTTCTCACGTGTGACAAAAACATTGACCTTCACATCCCAGCCTGACCCTTAACCCCCATTTTTCCATAGGATTCTCATGGGTTAAACTACCAAAAGCTGGAGATTTTCACCACCTTGGCACCGGCTGAGTTGCAGTTGCTGGCTACCAATTTGGGACATATGATCCCTTGTAATCCCTATAGTCACCAAGCAGCGTTCAGCTAAACTGCAATCATCCTATTTGCCAAGTTATCCCCGTCGGTTCGCGGTTGAAGCCAACTTCAACTTTAAATGGTGGTGACGTGTCCCATTTCAAGACTCCCATCAACCAGGGTGTCTTGCTCAAACCTCCAAAGTGCTGGCCAATGAGTTGTAATTCCCTTATCATTGCCCTACAGTCCCTTGTAACAATCAAGGAACAACCAGAATCTCGGCTGATTAGCAGCAGTTAATAGTCAGATACCAATTTGTCTTGAAACTCCCCTTCTTTATCCCCTATCATCATCCACCATCAACTATCAATTTTATCCACTTCACTATCTCCATCTTTTGATACTCGAAATCCCTGTCCCCAAAAATCCCGTCATCAACGCGCCGGGCCCCGGGGTCAACAACGACATAGCGTTGTCTTACTGGTGCTAAACGTAGGGTTGCCGGATGGGTTGCTGGGGGTTGCTGGGGGTTGCTGGGATGATTATCACTAGTGGTTATGGATCATTCCCGAAAATTCCCTACGTTTAGCACCAGTAAGTTGTTAACGCCAGGCGTCTTGCGCCCATAGGCGTCGCTCAGGACGCCCACCAAGGGCAGCGTCAGGAACTGACACAGCGGCATCACCAGGCCCAGTGCCGTCAGCAGCCGGTTGCCATCGATGAGAGCCAGCTGGCAATGCTCAGGCGCCGTGCCTGAAACTACAGCAATGGTGAATTCATGGAGTCTGACGAAGTGGGATATTCATGGAATTTAATGGATATGAATGGGGAGATGAATCATGGATAATGTTGAATGACATATATATATATATATATTAAATTAATTACTCAAATAAATAAACACAAATAAATATATTCGTTTTCCTGGGGAACTGAACTAGATTTTGAATGATTTTGATGCAATATCAATGGATCGAAGATGAAGTCAGACAAACTTTGGGATTTATCAGCGAACAAACAGTTTCTATGGGTTTCAAGGTACCTAGCTTAGAGGTGCCAAGCTAAACGGAAGATGGGTGGGGTGATGGAAGCTATGAAAAATGCACCATATGAACGTGGGATCTGACTTGATGAGCTTTCACCCCAAAGAAACAAAGATATACTTTTGTCACATTGGGTGAAAATAAAACGCCGTTTTCGAAGCCACCAGAAATTCTTTCTTCACCCAAACCACTCGCTGTGGAACTGCAGAACAGTCACCACCTTGGTTTGGATGGCCCAGGTGATCACTGACCCATCGACCAAGATTGCGGCAAACGAGCTAATTACTTGTGCTCTGAATTTGCTGCACATCACTCAGATGATCGCCCCAAACTGCTGAGCAGTCGCCACGCCATTCTGGATTGCCTCACCTAACCACGGATCCCTCTGCCGAGATCGCAGCAAACGCGCAGGCTGTGGCTTGAATTTGCTGCACATTCCGTAGCTGAACTTGAACTGCGGAGCAGCAACCACCATAGCTTAGATGCCCCTAGGAAACGACTGATCCATTCGCCAAAATTGCAACAATTTGCGCCACATTCCCCAGCTCATCTTCAACTGCGGAGCAGTCACCACCCCACTGTGGATGGCCCCATGTAATCACAGATCCATCAGCCAAAATCCCAGCAAATGCGCGCCTAGTGGCTTGAATTTGGTCCACATTTCTGAGCCGATCTTGAACTGCGGCGCAGTCACCGCCACAGAATGGAACGCCCCAGGCAACAACAGATCCGTCGGCCAAGATGGCTGCAAATGCGCGGCTACTAGCCTGAATTTGTTGCACATTTGTAAGCTGATCTTGCGCTGCAGAGCAGTCACCACCATGGCGTGGATCGCCCCAGGTAACCACTTTGTTGCCTCCGCAGCACCTTAAAGCAAAAGCCTCAATTGTTGCACTTAAGCTTGCTCGTCGCGCCACTGCGGTTAGGCGGTCTCCGTCTTGCACCCCTGCAGCTTGCAAAGAGTCCATCAGATTGGTCAGGTCAGGACATGTCCCTCGATAGTGACGAGTTTCAGGAAAGCACGTCGGAAGGCTTTCTGGGCCAGAAGTTTCAAGTCCCCGACTTTGGAGTGTTAAGGAAGTCGCAGAGTTTCTCCAGAACCGCTCGAGAACGATATGTTTGAAGCATTGAAGAAATTCAGCAACAATCAAAACACTTTTTCAACATGCAGCAATGTCGGTTTCGAAAATATGGTAGCACTAAATGCAATGATTAATCCTCATTAAGATTGCCATTTTGGGATACCCCGATGTCAGACAGAGCCATCTCTGGAGCCACAGGTGCGATCGTAATTGGACATGGCTATTGACAACAATGACCATGTTTAAAAGGTAGATCATCTACAAATGGTAATTTTCTATAGCTATGTTGAATTACCAAAGGGTAGCCGTTGATATGTCATATTAATTCATATTGCGGTTAAACAACTGGTGAAATTGGGACGATTTTGAAGAGCCTACTAACCTCTCACGGTTCATTGTTTACATGTAATGCTCACTCATTACTTGGACGCTGCCAGAATTAGCTCAGTGTCTAGTCGCTAGGGTGTAATTATCCCAATGAATATAATCAATCTCAGGGGGTTCTACGCCAGCTACTACGTCTCACTACCCACCTAACAAATTCTTGCGTCGATGTAGTATTCCGTCGCAAACTTGGATCATGGCCAAAGCCATCCAACCCTGAAAAACACCCCGGTAAAAAACGTGGTCCCAGTTGTGATGAATCATCCCCTACATCCACAATGGTTTGGTTTGGGGATGTTTAGCATGAACCGGCAAAGGGATCATTTTTGTCTGAACCAATCTCATTAACACTCACCAGCTACAGTTAAATGATCCTCCAAGTATATATTCTATATCCGTGTTGCGTTATATCCCCATGAAACATGTGGATGACATGACTGGTTTTATGCAACCCATTTTGGTGGTCAAATCCCATTCAGTCACTATCTTGGTTGCCTAAATCCCTGATAGATTAAATCTACAATTTTATGGCTCACTTGCCAGTAAAGAACCATAACTGTGTTGGTTACATCCCAGATAAATGCCATAAGATGCTGATCAGCTGTCTACGCGCGGAGTGGAAGGTGTCATCTAACATGGCTGGGTGAGGCGAACTCAAAGTCATCCCAGCATGGCAGGTGAGTGTTGATGGGACAATGGACTCCAATCCTTATAGATAGATAGATAGATAGATAGATAGATATATATATATATAAATATGTGTATGTATGTATGTATGTATATATATATATATATTAGATATTAAATATTATATATCATATAATATATATTATATATGATATATGATATATGGGGATATCTGAGGATTTGAGGAATCGTGGACTTGTGAAGTCATTGAGCCCTTTAACTCGCTTTTTTTTCATGTAAGGGACTGCTCTTAAGGTTATTGCGGCAACCGCACTACAGATACAACAGCTGCTCTTGAACTGGAGAGCAATCACCACTTTGCTTGAGTTGACCCCAGGCAACCACAGAGCCATCAGCCAAGATAGCCGCAAATGCCTTTGATGTGGCTTGAACCTGCTGGACATTGATGAGCCGATCTTGAACCGACGAGCAGTCACCACCCCAGGCTGCATCGCCCCAGGCAACTACAGATCCATCGGCCAAAATCGCGGCAAATGCATGGCCTGTGGCTTGAATTTGCCGTACGTTCCTCAGCTGATCTTGAACTGCTGAGCAGTCACCACCTCGGCTTGGCTGGCCCCAGGCAACCACTGACCTGTCGAACAAGATTGCTGCAAATGCATATGCCGTCGCCTGGATTTGTTGCACATTCTTGAGCTGATAATGAACTGTAGAGCAGTCGCCACCATTGTATAGATCGCCCCATGCAACCACAGATCCATCGGCCAAGACCGCGGCGAATGCGAGTTCAGCAGCCTGAATTTGTTGTACATTCCTTAGCTGATCTTGAACCGACGAGCAGTCACCACCCCAGGCTGCATCGCCCCAGGCAACTACAGATCCATCGGCCAAAATCGCGGCAAATGCATGGCCTGTGGCTTGAATCTGCCGTACGTTCCTCAGCTGATCTTGAACTGCTGAGCAGAGACCACCTCGGTTTGGATGGCCCCAGGCAACCACTGACCTGTCGAACAAGATTGCTGCAAATGCATATGCCGTCGCCTGGATTTGTTGCACATTCCTCAGCTGATCTTGAATTGTGGAACAGTCACCACCGCAGCCTGGATTGCCCCAAGCAACCACAGACCCATCGGCCAAGACCGCAGCAAATGCCGCATCCGTGGCTTGAATCTGTTGCACATTCTTGAGCTGATCCTGAACTGCAGAGCAGTCACCACCATAGCGTGGATTGCCCCAGGTAACCACAGATCCCTCGGCCAAGATCGCTGCAAATGCAAAGCGTGTGGCTTGAACTTGCTGCACATTCCTCAGCTGATCTTGAACTGCTGAGCAGTCACCACCCTTCTCTGGATCACCCCAGGAAACAACAGGTCCATCAGCCAAGATAGCGGCAAATGCACAAGATGTGGCTTGCACTTGTTGCACATTAATGAGTTGATCTTGAACTGCGGAGCAGTCACTACCATAGCTTGGACCTCCCCAGGTAATCACTCTGTTGCCTCCACAGCACCACAGAGCAAAAGCCTCATCTGTTGCATGTAGGCTTGCTCGTTGCGCCACTGTGGTTATGCGGTCGCCGTCTTGCACCCCTGCAGCTTGCAAAGAGTCCTCAGGGTTGGTCAGAACATGCCCCTCGACAGTGACGAGTTTCAGGAAGCCGCGCTGGAAAGATCTTTGGGCCAGGAGTTTCAAGTCCCCCACTTTGGAGTGTTCAGGAAGTCGCAGAGTTTCTCCAGAACCGCTCGGGAAAAAAAGGTTTCACTCAAAATATCATCAACATGCAGCAATATCTCGAGCCATAGGTGCAACAGTCTTGTTCAAGGCCAAAAAACTAATTGGACATGACCCTGCTGGTGACATCTGCTCTAAATCAAATGGCTTCAGTCAAAAAGCTAGTTGCAAACTGGTTCTACTGGTTTGTCATGCTTTGTTTATATTTTCTCCAGATTATCATGATCTCTTTTCAGGCTAGTAGACCCCAATATTGAGAATACAGAAAGCACCGCGTTTTTGACACTGCTCAAATGGGCTTCCGTCAAGCCACTGAACACCTGTTGACGGTACTATGATGCTTAGTGTGGCAAACCCAATAATAAACCTACCATTGTTGGAGGGCTTATGCCATCCATTTCTGGTGATACTGGGGAGACTTTATTGTTGGATTTGCCATAGTGTACAACCTTATGAAATGGGGTCTATTTTCAATAACTTGCTATCCACTCAGTGC